GACCCTATTCATGAATCATGATTCACTTTTAATTAATGAATACATACACACGCACTCCGTAAACACTTAGCCATACATATATACATCTTTACGTATGTATAAGGGCTCAAAAGCTCAAGGAGAGGAGAGAGAGTAAGAATTACAAAAGTCAAGGTTTTATTACACCAATGCCAGCGAAGTTCAAAGGGACTACTCGCTTACTCACATAGTACTTACATACAAACATGTGAAAGATTACAAACTGAGTGGCAAGGGTTGACTCTAATCCTTTTAATACCCTCATCCTTCACACACATAGTGCTGCTCCTAAACTGTTGTTGTTACTAATGCCGTAACCCTTCGCATATCAACTCTTTAAATACTTTTATATATGTATATGTACATACATTAGGGTGGATCACAAAAAAACAATTGCGGGTTTTCCGCCGGAATTGTAAAATTTATTCTAGTTAAGCCTTCCGCTAAAATACTTCGAAAAAATATTATAAAGTAACGTTTTCATACATTTTTCAATTTATAAACTTTTTTTAAACCTGCCTTACTTTTTATGAATAAGGATATTAGTATTCACTTTTTGAGCTATACCGATTTGAAAATATGTATGTACACTAGGGTTATGACATATTTTTTACAAAAATTTTACCATCACCACGTGATAGGAAAAACTAAATTAATAATAAAAATCGTGTTTGCGGGTAATTTTTACAAAAAAAAAAATCTAACGCACCATATGCAATTACTTAAAACTCACAGATATTTTTTTATTTTTTTATTTTTTTCTTGCTTTTAAATTAATATACAAATATATATACAGTTGAAATAAAAATAAAAAATATTTAAAGCATGTCAATTTCTATGTGGTGTATGATACGAGGTAAAATTTGTGTCATTGTTGCCGCGTTTATTTGCGATATTTTTTCTGACTGTATTACACATTTCTTTCCATAGATACAAGAGAAAAAAATTGTCAAATACACTTTGTTACTAAAAAAATCGGTAAAAATAAGTAAAAAAATATGCAAAAAATCAATGCGATTTTTTAACAACTTAAAATTTTTACAATTTTTGCACAAAGTTCTAAATATGAATATATGTATATGTTTTTTTTTTTATATAATGAGCAGCACTAAAAAATAAATTTTAATTCAACAAAAGAAATATAGCCAAAACTGGTCAAAATAAGGTGTCTCTATTATTTTGGCCATGAGTGTACCTCCAAAAATCCCATTATATAGATTCCCTTGCTACAACTATTAAGCATTTTTTTGCAGAGTTTTTAAGCTTGAACTCTTCTATAACCTGAGGTGCTTTTTTAGAAAAACACTAATTTTATCTATCTATAAAAAAAACTCGACGCCTGGATGTATTTTAAAATCGATCTAGTTCAAGATAATCTTAATATTTTTCGAAATGTTTAGGCGGAGGTCTTAAAATCTGAAAAATTTTCCGATGGAAAAACAGTACCGATTTTTTTTTTTTTTTGGTTGAGAGTGATGCACCGTAATGTACATATGTACATACTTACGCTCGCTCGTGTGAACGACTCATTCCAAAAAGGCACCCAACAACGCCAACGCGACGCGGCAATTATGATGTGATACACGCTGTCCACACTCCGCCCAGCCGCCCAGCCGCGCCACCAATCATCCGGCATCTGTACGTATGTACATAGATACATACACATAGGAAGTACTACATTAACGCCGAATTTGTGCGCACCAATTTGCAGGCACATCATCTCAAAACAATAAAAACAAAATAAATAAAAGCAATAATAACCAACAACAACAAGCTGAATCAGAGAGTAGAACAACAAAAAAAAAAAGAAACATCGAAAGAAGCAACAGCAAACAACAACTAAAATAAAAACGAATCAAATAATAAACAACGACAGCTGCAACCAAGAAAATTTTCTCACACTCTAAAGTGCACTGGCATACCAACAACAAGTCCGCACAGGCGACAGCAGCAGCCGCTAGCATAGCCGCATCCAAAGCCCAGCAAACGATTCAACATTCAGTCAGCCAGTCAGCCGGTTAGTTAGTCTGGTGTTCGTCCTACAACCGTTCGCACACACACACACAATTCCATATCAGCCACTTAGTCAGTTAGTGTAGCAGTCAGTAAGTCGCTCTAGTGGCCACATCCGTGCGCAAAGCCAGGCTTTTTAGTCTGTCTGTCCAGCCATCCATCCGTTGGTCCGTCCGGTAGAGTGCTGAAGAGTAGTAGCTGCCACAATTTCATGAGCAATGCGAAATAGTCATGCGGTTTGTTCCGAGTATATGTATATACATGAGTGCGTGCGTGTGTGTGATTTGTTTAGTGTCCGTCACTCAGAGTCGTCGAAATTTGACGAAAGGCAGGTGGTAGTTTTTCGGGAATTTAGCTCACTGGCACATAACAGCTACTGAGTATCATCATAAGTTGGACGAGTCAGTCGCGCAACGGATAAATATCCTCAAAAAAAAAAGCACAAATGGCACACACTGTTATTGAGCACAGTGGGTACGAAAAGGGGAATTCGTTGATACATCTTGCAGAACGGAATCATTGCGGAAGTGTAACTAAATTATGCGCTGGTCCCATGTTACAATGCAACTACGGCAACATTGGCCTGAGAGAGCTTTTACCTTGCGACTGTCTTTTTAAAACAGTCATGATTAGAGCGAGAGCTTTTACTATACTGTGCACGCTCACATAAAATCTACAGAAAGCTTTAAAAAGTTCTGCTTTCGGGCGCTCTTTTCAGCATCACTAATATAAAATGCATATAAAGCTTGCAAAAGCTCCCTATGCTTGTCTATGTAGTGGCCAATTAAAAATTAAGGAACGTTTTTATAGGCTATACATTAGGTTCGGGAAGGACATACTCAAAAACTCACAAAACAGTCTTCGAAGAGAGCTTTTTATCAATTCAAAAGCTTCCTTGCAGCCTTATGTTTTCATCCGTACTCATATAATAGTTTTGTGTCTTCAAATTATTCACTTGGACACAACAGGGAGCAACAAAAATGCTCAACAAAGTCTTTCTCCATTCTACCTCTATGTGAGTGACGATCAGACTTGACATGAAGCCCGAGGAAAACTCCTTTCAAATGAGTAGAAATCTTTCGACGAGCAAAAGTCACACTTTAAGAATCTCTTCTCATAAAGTGCAGATTGGAAACACCTCACGAATGGACGCTTTTGAATGGGAAATTGAAACCAGAATATCAGCGTTAGCACCAAATCATAAAATAAAATCTACATCTATTTAATATGATCAACAAAGCTTCCCCAAGAATATAGGAAACTGTCGTTTTTTTACCTTAAACCAAACTAGCAAACTGATATGAAATGGTCCAAGGACTCATGCAAAGTAGGCGTATCACCAGAAAAAAAAATTAGGGCATTGGACGTGCCGATGCATGAACATCCATCAGTTGTTAGAAGAAAGCCAGCTGACAACGCCTGAAAGTGCTCATCGCGGCCGAAAAGTGTGTCTTAGCACACCAACAAGTTATTTGGTTGGTTATAGGGCTTCCTCATAATAATATTTTTAGGTACTGATAGGTCCGCTAGTAGTGTTTCTATGAGCCTTCTAAGCGTTTTGTGCCAAATACTCACAAGGCGTGGGCATTCACGTGGGAAATGTTGGACACATTCATCGTTAGCTTGTAGCTGGTAACTGCGCGGCGTTCTATTACGAGTATAAGTGTACAGAAGCCCAATTTCGGCTGCTTATTTACAGCCTTCATCTAGTAAGCAGATACTAGCTGTTCGTCATATAATAATCATGTAAAAGTTTTGATATCCTGCAATTTGGTATGTATATCTGACCGCCTTTTTCTAGCCGACTGCTTCTCCAATCCATCAGTTACTCATTGCCTTCTAGATCCGGGAACCTAGGCAAGAGAGGCGATAAATGACCGAGACCCTGCGTTCCATTTCACATCTTTTAACCAGCTTACAGTTTAGTAACCGGAGATGCGTTTGTTAATAACGCCGACTGGCTGTCAGAATATAGTACTACCAAGTTCCTCTGAGCATCCATCTTGAATCCGTCAGTCACTCGGTTCCCTTTTCCATTTTATTTTGAATGGGAATTGTTGTTCCTAATTGCAATTCCCAACTCAGCTACTTTTCCACCAAATGCTCACTAACACTATTTACACCGCGATTTCATACAAACAAGTCCCACTGTGCCCAATCACTATCAAAACACACAGTCACCCCAAGCAAAGGGATGAGTGCTGCTTCGCAGCGGTGATAATAACACCGACGACAATAACGAGCCGTTGCGTCGAGCACAACAACAAAATTATAGGGTGTATGAAGAAAAAATTGTGTGGGAAACCGAGTAGCAAAGTGTTTCCCACGGTTTCGAAAAAGGACTGCTGCAACATCAGCAGCAGCTTTCGATGAGCAGGAGGTTAATTTACTTTACCTGAAAAACAAAAAAACAACCACCGCACAACCAACAACAACAAGTGGATATGGTGAAATCAGCTGCACCCTCACAGCAAGGCAATCAGAAAAGAAAGAGCAAAAATGCAAACAGCCCTTACTTAAGTGCAGCGAGATGGAACAGGATCTGCGCAGCATGCGTCGATTACACCATCGATACTACATAAAGCAGAATGCGCAACATAGCGAACTGGGACAGTGAAAGCAACAAAAACAAAAAAAAACAGCCACCACTACTGATATCGTCACTGGCACCAACACCACAACCAACGCCTTTCACTGAGTGCACTCAGCTCAGCGCTCACCAGCAGAAGCAGTGAGTGGGCAATCCTGTCTGCTATCTGGTGGCGAACTCACGCAGGTGTTCAACTCGACTCTGCTGCTAGTTGTCCGGACTCCGGATTGTGTTGCTCTCTCACCCAGGCTTACGTACTCTCTCGCCTGTTTATTTTACAGGCATTTGCATGAGCGCGCGCTGCGCACGAGCATGAGTTTACCACCTCTCCGAAGCGACCTTTAGCCACGTGCAGCTATAAAAGGCGGACGCATTCCTGGCGTACTCAGCATTCTCGTTGCAGAACTTAAAGTGAAAACAACACGTTGCGTAACCGAAGCGCACTCAAGAAACAAGAAAGTTAAAAAAACATACAAATTTCGTTCTACACTGCACAAAAAAAGTGAAAACAAAAAAAAAACATAAATATCAAAATGGCAACCAGCGCTTATGAATTATCAAAAACTTATCGCTATCGCAAGGTGATGAAGCCACTATTGGAACGCAAGCGCCGTGCGCGCATCAATCAATGCCTGGACGAGCTAAAAGACTTGATGGCCGAATGTGTACAACAGCAAAGTGGCGAACCGGAGGTGAAATTGGAGAAGGCGGACATTCTCGAATTGACCGTCGAACATTTGCGTAAAATGCGTCAACAGCAGACGTGTGCACGAAGCGCAGATGAAGGTGCACGTCAGAGCTTTCGTTCCGGTTATATTAAGGCGGCGCATGAAATTTCGCGTTGCCTCGCCACTCTGCCGAATGTAGATGTGCAATTAGGCACACATCTGATGACACAACTTGGCCTGCGTCTCAATCAATTGGAGTCGCAATTACAAGAAGTGCGCACCGCCGTCAATCAGCCTCTAAATGTGAACTGCGGTCCAGCTACACCGCCAACAACCAGCGCCTCCATGTACAGTCCAGTTTCCAGCGGTTATGCCAGTGACAATGAATCGACCACCTCAAGTCATTCGGCAACGCATAGCAGTGGGCTATTGCAGGTGTCGTCAACGCAAGTGTGGCGTCCGTGGTAAGGAGAGGCGCCGAAGAACGACGAGCCGCCGTTACCCTGCAGCCATTAGATGCGCAAGCAAAGATTATATTGGACTTGAGTTAAGTCTATAGAAATAATCTCACAACGGTCTCATTTGATTTAAGTTGAATTGTTTTTTATTTAATTTTAAATGATTTCAATATTTTTTCGTAAAATGTTATTAGACAATTAGCTGAATAATTAACTAGGAAGTTGGTTTTGTGAACTGTGATAGGTAAAGCTTTAGTTACATACAAATATTTGTACTGTAGTAGTTTGTAAGTATCAAGCACCAATTGTACATAAAGGTGTATTTAGTAAAGTATGTAATGCAAAATGATTATGCATACAAACGAGAGATACAAATACATACATATCTTATTACATTAAACGAGCAATTCTTATATATATATCCATAGGGTTCTCGGAAACGGCGCTAACGATTTTGATGAAATTCTGTACACAGATAATGTTTTGGATTTTAAGATTATCTGAATAGGCATTAAATATTTCCGAAAAGACTCGCGTAAGGTTGCCAACTGTTCGAAATTAGTTACAAATTGATTAAAACATCATAGAATGGGCATCAAATGGAAGACATTTTAAATATCCATTATTCAGAAATATTTTATATAGGGTTGCCACCTATTTTGAATCGCATATTTATTTAATTTTTTGTTTAGAAAAAAAGGTACCAGGTGAAGGTTCTTAAACAATGGTTTCCCTATATTCAAAATGTTATCCCTTAGGATAATAATGTAAGGTTGCCACTTATTTTCGATTCTACATATCTAAAAAAGATATTATTGAAAATTTTGATCAGAAAATATTTTCCATAAGGGTTGCCACTCTTCTATGTAATTTTGTTAATTTCAATCAGCATTTCTTTTAAGTATACACAGTACATATACGTTCAAGATATGTACCATTCATTCCAGCGTTCTTCGGAATAGGGTTGCCACCTAAATTTTGGAGTAAGAAATTTACTTAATAAATATCGAAATCCAAATTTTATCTTATTTTTCAAAATATTTTTTTAAAGCTATCCGAATCTTTAAAACTTTAAAAAGTATATGCACTCCGGGCAAAACTCGGTCAACCTAGTGCTGTATATATAATTCGAAATGGAATTGGACACTTTAAAAATATTGATTTATAAGTTGAATTGGTTTTTGAACATTTGGCAATTAAAAAGCGTTTCATTCCGATATCTCACCGGATCGTTTAAAGTTATGTAGGACTAAGCGCCAATAAATACCCTTTGACCTGACTTTTTGAAAATTTTGATTTTTTTACCCTTTTCCAAAATTATGCGCGACTTTTTCCTCTTTTCAGAGGTTTTCTAGGAAATGTTAACAGGACCATGCTTATAACAATTATTCCCCCTGTAAGAACGAAAAAATGCATCACTTAAAACTTTTAAAGGAAATGCAACTCTTCTCCTTGCAGCAACTAAATTTATTTGTATGTTTGCAACAGTTTTTTGTTGCATAGCTTGTTCCGATATTTTCTTTTTAAATTCAACAGATTTATTCTTTTACTAGTAAAGAAAAGTAAAAATAATAGGGTGACACTTTTTTTGTCAATGACCCCCTTTTTGCGACTTTCTGAAAATTTCCAACGGCAACACTGGTCGTACAGACATATGCGGCTGCACACTGTAATATACCTTGAACCCATTCTTGCAAGGCATTATGGCCAAAAAATTTTTTATTTTTTTTATAAAGTCTAAATTTGAAGATATCAGCCCGAAATTCGGTCAAGACACATATGTTTTATTAGAGTTCCGAGTTGACCTAGAAAATTTTGTTCGGTTCGAGGGACTATTTCATTTGACATTGCGTAAGTGGTATGTGGCAAATTTTACTTTCTTTCGCCAAATTTCCAGTGGGCGACGCCACCTAAGATGTGGTCCACTCTAGCCATTGATAAGGCGGTGTTTAATTTAACTGCTGCCCTACATGCCATCTTGGATAAGGCTTGTCCGTCTCGTTCACCTTTTAGCCGCACGTTGTTCCCTACCACGGTTTCAAGATAAAACTTCTTTGTTGCCAGAACTCTGACAGTTCCAAATCGCCCAGTCTGGATGGCATTCTACCTATTGTACTTAAAAAAGGTGTTGAGCTCTTGTTGACGACCTTGAAAAAGATTTTCACAGCGTTGCTTGCACTTGCTTACAAACAACAATCTTGGAGGCTGGTTGATGTCGCCTTTATACATGGTAAGGATGACTGTACTATACTAGCCCCAGAAGCTACAGGCCTATTGGCATGACATCCTTCATGCTTAAATGTTTGGAAAGATGGATAGAGAAATCCTGTGAGGCGGATTTGCAAAATCTGGTTGCCAGATATGGTATGATGGAGCAGACTTTCTCTACAATACCTGGCGCTGTGCTGGATGCACTGCTGCACTTACCGTCACTTTGTGTCGTCATGCGTGGGGAAGCCTTGAAGGCCACCCGCAGACTAAAAAAAAAGAAAATGTTGGTATATAACACAGAGTGGGATAAGACGGAATTTTCTGGTGGCAGAGATCTGAGCACTTGTGTCTTTTTGATTCACGCATTGTCGAGTCTTCACTGATGGCTACAAAACTAACTCTGGATCAGGATCTGGGGTCTTCATCAAATTCGTCAAGCTTATTGTTTTGTACCTGGTTTCGGCAAAATAAAAAAAAAACCTTTGTTTCGTTGCAACCTTAACGTGGAAAACGCGTAATTAACGTCACTTTTATTTATCTAAAAAAACTTTAACTTATTTTGCTTTGCTCTTTTCTAAATACAGTTAATAGTTTCATTGAATTTTTGGTCACGATTTTATACCAACATAAGCATTTTCACTGCATGAAAACTATATAAAATAAACCCGGTCTATCCGGTTTTTTCTTAATTTCAAAATCGAGAACCGTTTTTTTTTAATTGCAATTCTTGGAATAACTCGGAAACCGGTTTTGAAAAAAATGCGAATAATCGAACACCCTAGTATAAACTAGAAAATAATGGAAATTGTATGGTGCGACAGGTTGTTGTTGTTGTAACAGCATACAAATTCCCGAAAGAGTTTTGAGACTGATGCTGGAATGGGTCAAGTACAAAGACTGGTGTAAAGCAATTATGTTTGAAGTAAAAGTCGCCATATATGTAAAAATATTACAGCTTATTTTTATTTTTTAATATGTTTCAACAGAATAATGAAATGTAGTCATTTAGTAAGAGGTTACTGCTGAAATGGAGATAATTAAGGAACTTTAAATTTTATGTCGTTTTCCTCTTTTACGTGGAATGACCCACAATGAAATCACTTCTATTTAACACACCACAAAAACCTCTGAAAAAAAAAACCTGGAAATAGTTATCGACATTTTTATGCTTTACATTTCAATTGCGTGGCTACTCACCATTATTTACTTCCACACAAAAAATGACAGAACGAAAAAATGCCCAACATTTTAAAGAGCCAATACACAATTTTACATGATTTTCTTGCATACTAGCAGCAGTAAGCAAGGGTGGGAAAACAAATTTATAAAATTACTTAATTATTTTTTTAAGCATGAAATATTAGGGAAAACTTTACATACTCGTGTTTCCACGTTAAATTATTTAATAATAACCTTTTATCGAAATTTTATTGCGATGTTGCTTTGACCAGGGCTAGAACCCTTAAAAAAAACACTGGTGCAAGTCTTAAAACAAAATTTTTTCATTGAAATTATCGGGCCCCAACCGCAAAAAAAAACGTAAGCGGACATTTTCGAAGCCTACTTTTTTGATGCAGATATTCTCTAAAAAGTTCTAAGAGTATTTCTGCATCAAAAAGTAAATTATGAAAAAAAAACTCGCTTACATTATTTTCGCGTATAAGGCTCGATATGTTTTCATGTTCAATCATAAAAAAAAACAACTTATAAACAGAGTATTGCAACATTCAGACAAACATTCTGTTAATTTTTTCTAAATCACTTCATAAGTACGTACACAAATATGGGCTATATAATCTATATATATAAATTGATCGTTGCAAAGTATGCATCCACTGCACATAGCATCCTACATACATACATACATACATTCATATGTACATAATCACCATTAATGACTCGTGTATTGCACGCATTGGCTCGCGCCACTTTGGCCAGCAACTGGGCAAAAGTCACGAAAAAAAAAACATTAACAATTAATTTTCGAATGAATACACCATTAAAACATTTATTTGAAATTTCTCAAACTTTCCCACACTCAAATTCAGCTGTCGCAGGGTGCTTAGCACACTGCAGCATTAGCAAGAACACAAACACACAGCAACAAACAATTATGCCATTATCCTGAAGTAACGACAACAAAAAAATAACATAGAAAAAATCATTAACAATCTTCACTCGCGCACATTGCGTAGGAGGAGCGCATAAATGCAGCTGTAAAAAATGCAGCAGCAACAACATGGCAATCCAATAAATCGTAAAAGCAAACATAACGCACGAAAAGCCCTATAGATCCTCACTATTTATGTACATATATACATACATATGAATGTACATGTGTATGTATGCATTCTTATTTGCTGGCGAAGCAATGGATCAAAATACCAAAGCGTAAAATAGCAGCAGCTGCAAAATTTCAGATCCTTAAAAAGGAGCATGTGGCCAGCATTATAACAGCAATGCTAGCAACAACAACGAACACATGCCGAACGGAAAGTGCTGTGTGAGAAACTCACTTTCGACTTGGTTCCCACGCCACGAGCCATAAGGCAGGTTTTCTTTTTCGTTTGTTTTTTTGCTCTTCAACAACGTATTTTTTGTACGTCTCTTTGCAGCCAAGTGTCCTCGTTGTCATTCATTGCGGAGCAATATGTGCACACATAAATACTTGCTTATTAATATGCGCTTACGTATGTATGTATGTACATACGTAAATACGTACTTGGCTGTTAATTCACTTTACACTCCATCGCATGAGGGTTGTTTGCTTGCTCTTTGCCATATCGATTGACTTTAGAAGCGCAAAAATAAATGAGAGCCACGCACTTTGTATCCTTGCTGCTAAGGGTTGATCGCGCTCTCGAGTATAAAAGCAAGCGCTCGGCAAGGATATGATAACATTTTCGTCCTAACCAACGAAACGTTAACAACCAGAAGCGATATAAAATGGCACAACAAAGTAAAACTGAAATTTATTTGAAAGTGAAGAAACCACTATTGGAGCGTCAACGACGTGCGCGTATCAATGACTGTCTGGAGTCGTTGAAGAAACTCGTAGCCGAATTACAAGCGGATGATGCTGTTTTACGCATGGACAAAGCAGAGCTGCTCGAACAAACGCTTGTTTTTGTGCGACAACAATGCACGCGCGGTAGCAGTAAGGCACAAAAAAGCGCAAACGTATCGATGGATGCATTCCGTTATGGTTACATGAATGCAGTAAACGAAGTGTCTCGTGCGATGGCATCAACACCTGGCATGAGCATAGAATTGGGCAAATCAGTAATGACACATTTGGGCCGGAACTATAATCGTCTAGAACAGCAGCAGACGCAGCAGGGGCTGCAACAACAACAACAGCGCCAACTATACATAGCTCAACCGCAGCAACAAGTGGTGCATCAGCCGCTGAAAACCATACACATGCAGGCGCTAAGCATTGAGTGTGCACCATTGAGTCCAGCTTCTTCCGGCTATCACAGTGACGGCGAGAGTCCAGCTGCCTCACCTGTTGCAGCATCAACTCCGCATACCGCCAGCCTTAATATATGGCGGCCCTGGTAAATGCCAGCAGAGACGCCGCTGTGCCAATAAGTAGATGGAGAGCACAACAGAGAGACTATGGTTCCTGCCACCAGCTGTGATACTAAGCTGTGATGTTTTATTTAAAAAAAAAACCCCCTACCTAATTGACTTGTTGTTTTAAGCAGCATTTAAAATTTATATACATATGTACGTAATTTACAAACTACATAAAAGAAAATATATACACATTTATAGACACATATAACTAAATTACATACCTTTTATTTTTGACTACTGTTTGGGAAGCGTGTAACGAAAATTCTAACTTTAAATATTTTACTCACTGCACTTTCCTTGTTTTTAATTTATTGTTTTAAACAAATAAGCTAATGCAATTAACACAAATTATAGTTAAGATATTCTTGCCGCCGCTTCCGTCAATAAAGGAAACTGACGCTAGCTTCCGTTATTCAATTGTCTATTCGCTGGTCACTGCTGCCAAATTTCAAACCAAAGGACGTCCTTTTTTCTCTTCACAGCTTAATAAACACACCTCGATTGCAACCCTGCTATCTTGCAGGCTAGTTTGGCAGCACTGATTCATTACAAGTGACCAGCTTGACAAAAAGAGAAAAACGTCAAATCGTTTGCTCCAGATTCCACATAAACATTTACAAATTTGTTATCTGGCCACTCTACGACTGTGTTAATTTTTTCCGCGTCTGCGCTTTCGTTTTGTTGTCGTTATTCATTTTATTTGATTTGAATAAAGTGCAAAAACTGCCCCTAACATTTACTTTGCAGTAGATGTAGAAAAAAAATTGTGGCGTAATTTGTGTGCGCCAAAGAAATGTCTGTAAATATTACTGTGAATGGAAAATTTAAAGCATGCAGTAAGCCGAGCATTTTGGACGATCCCGTGCGCTTCAAGAAGCAGCTGGAATGTGAACTTAGAAAACAACGACTGCTTGAGGTAATTACTATTGCTATGCGTACGAGGGTAAACTTTTAACACATTTCCACTTAATTACCAGGTACGTGAAGAGTCGAAAAATTTGGCGCGTAAAATACGCAATGACGTTGCTGCCGAAAAGGAAAGGCAGCTGAGAAATTTAGAAGCTATTAAGGCAAAGGAATTTGAATGCTGGCGAGAGCATGTATTGGATCAGAAAAATAACGACTATCGGCAGGCAATTTTCCAAATTGGGGCCGCGCATCATGCAGCAAAGTTGGAGAACGAAGCCATGGCGGAGCGCAAGGTAAAGCGGGAGCAGCAACGGCAGCAGTTCAGAAAGAAGACAATTGACCGGTTGGGCTTAAAGACACCGCAGACTGCGAAAAAAGTACTACAAGCAACTGGCACACAAACACCAAATGTACTCATGAAGGATACAAGAAAGAAAACTCCAAAGAAGAGAAAGCGAAAAAGTTGTGCTAAGGAACACACGTCAACATGCCATTGCTCGAGCGCTGAAAGCGAAACGGAAAGTGAAGAAAACAGCGAAGAAGAAGAGGAAAATGCCACCAATGTTGGTAGCAGAAGTCCAACTACAAAATCGGTGATTATTTGTGCGTGTCCAAATGGGTTTAAGTGTCCTTGCAATAGTAGTTTTTCGAGCACATCGTCGACACTCTCAACTACACTGACTGATGAAGAAGAGCACACTAGGCCAGCTAACAAGCAACCTATTCTTAGCAGAAATCCAACTGTGCTAGTTGATATTGAGGATTGTAACGATTCGGTGATTATAACACCTGGTGAAATTAAAGACAAACACCCACAAAGTAATCGGCAATTCAGCCACGTTGTGCGCAATAATAGTCCAGAAAATCCCAGGCGTCCTTCATTTAAAGATAGCACTGCTGCAATGGGTTCAGGGACTACCAGCGCTGCTGCATCAAAGGCGACCAAAAAACGTTTTACATTGGTTTCACAGCTCATTAACGCAAAAAGTACCACCGGTGGATCGCAATCACGTTCACCACCAAGGGCGCCACGGCCACCGCCGTCATCAACAGCAGCTACATCAGCGACTTCCACACAAAAATCGCCACGAAAAATTAGCACGTCTGGAAATGTTTCCAGAGAAATTGCAAATACGCTTTCAGGTGCCACAGTGACATTAGATAGTGCCAGCAAAAGTGATCAGAGAAAAAATGCTCGCGATGATAGTGTAGGACGTGTACATTCCTATGATTACAACAATAAGTATACGAGAGAATATCCACATCCCACAGAAGGACTAGTACACCAACCCAGTGTACGCGAACGAAGTCAGCCGAATGCAGTGCAGCAAGCGGAAATAGAACGGGAATTAGTGATGCAAAAGGGGCTTGAAAAAGACCGAATGCGGTAAGTGGACATAGAAGATAAGCTTAAATAAAAAAAAAAATAGAATAATAAAATAAAACAAAATTTTTGATAAGATATTAAAGCTAAAACCCTTTCATCCACAGCGCGCGTTCAGAGGAGCGTGGACGCAAAGCACTCGAGCGCGAACAGGTCAGACGTGATTGCCAGGAGCTTACGAATAAACTGGATGCACTAACTCAACAATACCCGCAACTGTTGAATCAAGCAGATGTAAGTTATTGCATTGGGGAAAAAAATGTATTTTAAAGGCTCATATTTAAATCTAATGTTGTAATTGTCTTGCAGTCCAACCTCCTCCAATGCCACCAATTACAAGCCAATCGAGCTGAGCGCCTCGAGCATAAGCGCACTGCTGCCGTAGAAGAACTGCTTCTGCGCCCCGCAATAATCACCTGCCCAGAAATTGGGCAACAACAAACTCGGGTTGCAAGCCCACAGCGCATTGCCAGCGCCATCGCTGTTGGCGCCAGTGACTTAAATTTAGGTGCACCAAGCGTATTTGATCAAATCAATAACACCGGCTCAACAGATAGCTGTGGATCAATAATACTCGGCTACGTTGATGAACAGCAGCAAAAAATACGCAATGATCTAAACAAATATGCTGGTACACAGCCAAAACAAAATGCACAGAAAGCTGAACGCTTAAAATGTCTACTGCAACGAATTGAAGAACTGCGCAAAGCCTTGTGTGAGGAGCTAAACAAGAAAGGAAGCGATGAAAGCATGCAGCAGGTAATAAATGACGTCAGTGATGTACGACGCGAACGTGAGCGTATACTTACAAACGGCGCCTTGGATGAGGAGGGAAGGCTATCACCAATCCAAAAGCACATGCGCGATGTACAGCAAAAAGAAGCTGCGCTAGAGCAGAAACTACGCGAATTATGCAGAATGCAGAAGCAACGAGTAAATCCCGCAGCCAAAAGTGAAATGAAGGGCGAAGAAGGAGGAATTGTAAAAAGTAAGTCAAAATGGTTTAATGCGTAAATATTATTTGGTTTTCTAATTCCAATACTTCTTTACAGAGTCCGATGGAAAGGAATGTAGAGTCCTAGCGACGGGTAGTAAGCCATTAGAGATTATAATTAAATTAAGGAATGACGGCGGGCGCCACGGCAGACAAAAAGTGAAAAAGTCGGCGAAAAGTCCACGCAAACTTTCCACGCTCATCCATACGCCAACACGGAGATTAGGGGCGAAGCGCTCAACGAGCAGTTTGCGCGAAAAATCGCAGCACAAGCAACAAGTAGTGTCTACAGCTGCCAAGCAGGGACAAGTCAATCGCCAAAACTCGTATGACTCGAACTCGACCTCCTATCGTAGTTTGCCATCACGCATTACCAATGAGGTGGGCGCTTTGGTCAACCATTTAGAATTAGATCAAGAGGTGGTAGAGGCAGATGAAGAGGAGGGGATAGAAGATTACACGGTTACAGCTGAGGATTACAAGGTCAGACCTGCATCTGCTGGTGCAGCAAAATATACTGCACGCCCCGCAGCGTCAGCACAACGCATTGCCCGAGTAAACCCTCTTATAGCACACTATGTACAGCGTCTTTTGGGCATGTCGAGAAATTCCGTACGCGCACTAGGCGTCAGCTCTTCCGACATAGAGACACCTTCCTCTTCCATTATGAACGTCAGCTCGAATCGTACAGGTACTGCTGTGGATATGGCGGATTCTCAGGAACGTCTACAGCGAGTGCAACGATTTATTGAAGATAATCGCAGTTTTATTAGTGATTTGGAAGATACATTGCGCTCGCAAAGTGATGTTACTCTGGAGACCAGCATACGCATTTTTGAAGAGGTTTGGCAGCAGCGCTTGCGGAAGGATATGCAAAGCAAGGGAGAAAAGTCGCTGAAAGAGCAACAAGCAAGGCAACCGAAGGAGGCGCCACGGGGCTCAGAGCAGCGTATTACATCTGATGATGGTGCAAGACGCTTTGCACAAGAACGAGCAGATGTGAAAAGAAAAGAGCGCGATGGACGCCAGGAAGTATTGACGAAGACAAAAAATAGTGCTCCGATTATGCGAAACAGCACTGCTGTGGACAATGCAGCAAAATCATCAAGCCAGCAACAGCGAGCGTCTGTAGAGGCACGCGCACAGGCAGTAGCCATTCAAGCGGCACCGCAGAAAAAACATCAGCAAGTTAGAGAGGATGCGAACCGAATGCGCTTATCTGCGGAACGTGCTGCAGCTGATACAAGCGCTCAAATTAGAAAGCCACCTCGTGAGTCGCAGCGAATGCGTGACATTGCGGTTTCAACAGAAGAGCATCGCGCTGAAGAACAGATCGCGCGCTATGCGCAGCTCACCGAGAATTGTACTCATCGTATCGCCGAACTGACAAAGCTCATACAAAAGGTGCGCACTGAGAAAAAGCGTCTCATGGAAATCACACTGAGTTCGGTTAGTGAGGGGCGCAACTCAACTGAGTATATCGAACTGCCGGATGGCACGCGCCGTCGCTCGAATGCCTCGGCCACTGATAAGAATACAAGTGTCAGCAGCAGCGGAAGCAGCAGCGCCAGCCGTCAAAATACGCTCACCATGCAGCCAACCACTACTGTGGATTACACGCCGCCAGGCGCATTGGAGCAACAAGCTGCCACTTCATCTGGTGAAATTTTATCAGCGCAAGACAGCGTTGCACCACTTGAAAAGCACAAGGCTACCGGCATTAGTCGTGACAGTGGCATCTCAATATCACGACCAGTAACGGCGCAAGATGTGGAACCGCCTTCGCAGGCATCCGCC